ACCACACCAGATGGTACTTCAAGTACTTCTTGGGAAAAGGTCAGTGTCGCTCTGCGGGGCTCTGTTTAGTAAAAAATTCATGCTTACTACAAGAGAGAGTTTAAAATAGACAGAGATCAACACTGGTGTAAAAGATACAGAGATAAGTCTGAGACAGAGCCAGTGAGCTGGCTTACAGGGCATGCAAAAAATAAATCATCCTTTGGATGTCTTACCTGGTCTAAAGAATGTTTATCCCATTAAATCTCTTCAGTTTCATCTATAATCTGCCAGCATCAAGCCATATTCCAGCTTAGAGTCTCAACTAAGCTCTAATCTCACATACTAACCATTGGGGAAAGTAGTAGGAGAAATGTAGCCCAGTCTCAATAGTCGGGAAAAAAAAGCTTTCCTCTGCCAGACAAGGCTGTTAATGCTCAAGTGTCTTTTCTAAAATGTCCCACACTGCACATCAAGTTTACAGCAAGGGATACTGTGAGAAAAAAAATGTAAATGAATCACCTGTTCATTCACCTCTCTGATTCTCATCATTTCAACATCCTTATTACCATGAATAACCCGTCTGCTCCCTGACTCGGGGTTTAGGTGGCACAACAGAAGATAAAAGTCTGTGTTTTTTAAGCATAATTTAAAAAAGAAAGAGCACTGCTGTCTGAAAGGTGGAGATAATAAATCACATCCTTGTAAAGGAAACTTAGATAAAAAGCCAACTATGAAGAAACAATACTCATTTCATCCTGCACTCAGGGTCTAATGATGCTGTGGAATAGGGAGTTTCAAAATGAGCCTTGTCTGAACAAAGTTGGCTAGACCTGTTTGGACCACAGCTGAGCCATCTGTGTCTCACAGCCTGAGCAGGGCTCACTGCATCGCACAGCACATGATCAAACTGGAGGCCACTTCCTGTCTGAAGGAGCACCTACTATCATATAATGACATGAATTCTCATTTTCTTCATTACCAAGTTAAGTCCAGTTTTCTTGCATTAAATAGCCTGCATTTCGGATCAGATGGTCAATAATTAATGAGGTAAAAAAAAAGAAAACAGATGAAGGCATAAAACCAGCCCAGACAAGAAAGAAAGGAAGAGATGGGGGGAGGTTTTTATTCATGATAATGTGATTTTGTATGTTATAATGTGCACTCATAAAAGAGACTGTTATATATTGTACTATTTTTGTGTTTGTCATATTACGTTTCATCGTATTTTTGGTATATTTTATATGATACTTTGAATCATTGTTTATTGTTTATCCTTGTGAAGTAAAGGGAAAAAAATATATGTTTTTGATTTTTTTGTTTTTTTTTTGCAACCAAAAAACTAAGCTTGTGACATGCACTTTCATTCAGGCCCTTTTTTTTAAGAGCATGATAAAATTGTCTTGCAAACCTTTTTGACTTCATAAGTCACACAACTAAAAAAAGTCAAACTGTGCATTAAATAGCCTGCATTTCGGATCAGATGGTCAATAATTAATGAGGTAAAAAAAGAAAACAGATAAAGGCATAAAAACAGCCGAGACAAGAAAGAAAGGAAGAGATGGGGGGAGGTTTTTATTCATGATAATGTGATTTTGTATCTTATAATGTGCACTCATAAAAGAGACTGTTATATATTGTACTATTTTTGTGTTTGTCATATTACGTTTCATCGTATTTTTTGTATATTTTATATGATACTTTGAATCATTGTTTATTGTTTATCCTTGTGAAGTAAAGGGAAAAATATATATGTTTTTGATTTTTTAGTTTTTTTTGCAACCAAAAAACTAAGCTTGTGACATGCACTTTCATTCAGGCCCTTTTTTTTTTTTAAGCGCATGATAAAATTGTCTTGCAAACCTTTTTGACTTCATAAGTCACACAACTAAAAAAGCCAAACTGTGTGAGTGTTCTAATCTCAGTATAAATCCAGTTGGTCTATGAAGCAGTTTGTTTGAGCTGATTAATGAAAAACCTGTGAAGAAGACTAAAGGAACACTGGTGACAGGTTAAACACAAAGGTGGCAGCATGATGTTCATGGGATGCTTTTTCCATCAGGGATGGAGAGGCTGCACAGAGTTGATGCTCAGAGCTCATTTCTGACCTGTTTTTAAAGAGAAAATGTGTTGATAATAGAGAAGAGCTTCACTATTGAGCAGGAAAGCAGAACTGAAACATACCTAGCACCAAATAGAAATGGTTTAGGTTCAATTTTGATTACTTTTGGGAAAGGCTGTCAATGCCATAGCCTAAATCCAATTGAGAGTCTGTGGTATAGTTTGAAAATTAATGACCACAAACAATCTCCATCTATAATAACTGAGCTTAAGCTGTTTCACAAAGACAAATAGGACAAAACATTCTGTGTGCGAAGCGGCTGAATTCCAAAAAGCCTCCTCCTGCAACTGAATGCAGTCAGCCTTAAAGTTTGAATTTGCAACATCCAGATAAAACTTTTAAAAACAATAGTTCTGTGGTGTGCTGCATAACATTCATCATCATGCTTTTCTTTTCTTTTCTTCAGTCCACCAGAACTATGTGGGTACAGATGCTGAGAAAAACCCTTTCTACCTGTCAGTTGTCCTCTCTGACCAGAACAACCAGCGGGTCCCTCAGTACCGAGCTATCCTGTGGAGAAAGACGGTGAGTGAGCCAACCCTACCATCTCTGTAAACTTTATAATGGGTTATAAAGATTCATAAAAAAAACAACCTTCTAATTAAAGACGCTTAACATTTTCCAATACTTTCTAATTCAGAAAAAAGTTGCATTACAGTCACTTTAATACAACATCTCCAACGCATCGTGTTCTTCAACTATTAGCACCCAAGTGGACAAGTTAATCCTTTGTATAAATATTTCTCCATGCATCATTAAGGCTCTGTAAATAAACCCAAACTGCTTTGTTTGGCAGTGATGTGATTCCACTTTTAAATCCCAGTGTGTGTAGGTGTGTGCAAGTTGCATGTTGATTAATGTTTGTTTGCTGTTCAGTGATTAAGTTACATGATCAGGATATCATGAATCTAATTTTGGTCTGCAGCCTCGTCTGGAACCTGATTAAGGCGGTGGACCTCTGCTGCATGAGCATATTGATTTGTCTTGTTTCTGACAGGACTCTTAACTTGTACAGGATGTTTGTGTTGTCGGCGTTCTGCAACAAAGCAACGCTGCAATTACTTTGCCTGTAATTGAAGAACCTCCAAGTTGTCCGTGCAACCTATTTGGGTAGAATTATACAAGTTGTCTTATTATCATTGGAAATTTACAGAAATCAAGAGGAAAGCATGTTTAAAAATAATTATTTTCTCTAAATAAGTAAGTTACTCTTAGACTCTGTTTTAATTCCAAATGTTTGTCACTATTTTTCACTTAGGGAACTTTGAAGATCAGCCTCCCCTATAGCCCAACTAAAACACTATCAGTCAAGTCCATCCTAAGGTAAGATAAAGTAAGATTTAAAAAACTCTAATTATAAAAGCAGTGTTATTTAGTTTTTTTCTTTTTCTTATGTTAATTCTAGGACATGGACATCATGAAGATAAATAATTAGGATAATGATCTAATCTTTAATTATATTATACTGAAACAATATAATATATATAAGAATAGAATAGAATTTAATATAATGTACAGTATAATAAATATTTTCTGAAATTAGATTATATATCCATCCACTTTCTGTCACACTTATCCCAACGGGGGTCGCGAGGGGTGCTGTTGCTTATCTCCAGCTCCCTACGGACCAGATTATATATATTTATTTAATTATTCCTTCATTTGTTTTTATTCTTATCATTATATAAATTTCTAATGTTGTTTTGTAATTAGACAAACTTTATTGTCAGTTTGTATGCATAGAGTGTATACAAAACAAAATTACGTTGCATACAGCTTACAACAGTATAATGATATTGCAGTCGGAGTAAGATAAACATTACCAATATAAATTGCAGCAGTTATCAGAATGTAACAATATAAGAGAAAAAGAAACCAGTTTAAAATAATGGTGCAAAATGGCATTAACATAAAAAGGGTTATTGGAGTGCAAAATAAATATGGTGCAAAATGCAGTAGAACACTGAGTTGTGTCCTATTTAAAAGGATTATAAAAGTTCAGCCACGTTGTTAGGGCAAAATTCATGTACCAAATGTGATGCAGAGTTTAGAGTTCAATAGTTCAACAGTCTGATGAAAAGACTTAGACTGTAGAGACTAAGAATAACATTGCTGTAACTAGTATCAGTATCAATGCATCCATCAGCTTCTCAGCAAAATGTGAATGTCTCCACAGCTTTTGCTCCTACTTAAAGAAGTAGGATGTATGTTTAATGGAACATCACCATTCATGTTGTATTTAAAACACTACTTGAGCCTTGTCCCTCTTGGAATTATGTTTTTATTTTTATTTTTTGCTCTTTTTCGCACTGGATCTTGGACTTTTCTTAATTATTATCACAACTTTCACCAGGGGAGACTCTAACTTGCTTAACCCCATTACATCCTTGCACACTTGCCCAGTATCATATACTTTCTGTCACATGCTGCTGTTATTGTAAATATACACAAATTCAAACAACACATAAAATACACAAATAGCTAACAATATGCCAGCAGAATATAGTAATTTTCCCAAAATACTAGATGTAGCTAGAGTAAGCAAGGGGCATATACAGTAACTAGCCCATTTAAAATTGATTTGAAGCATCCTCAAGTGGGTTCAAAATACTCTGTTTTCATACCTGAAGATATGGATTCTTCTTCTTATATCAAAAAAAAAAAAAAAGTGCAAAAGGATGTAGGAGCTGATGTCCATTACTCTGTGCTGTGTCACCATAATACCAAAAAACCCTGGTTTTTAATATGAAAAACATTATTTCTACTATAAAATAGTTGAAATGCCCCAAAACAATAGGACCGTATAATTTCAATAATAATTTTTCAGAAGAGTGGAACACATATTTATTTAGTTTATAATCACAGTTATAGTTATTTGTGCATAAGATATTGTGTTTCAGGTAGCAAATGGCGTGGGAGACTAGATAAAGGATATAAGAAGGGATATGACAGAGGAGATTGGAAAATTCCTCAGGGGTGGAAAGTATCACAAGTGAAATTCAAACAAGCCGAAATCATTGAAAATTAATGTGAAATCCCCCATATCAGTTCTCATTTTTCAGTATAACTTTCTAAGCCATTTGTCTTCAGTCACTTCTAAATCCCTGCTATTCCTTCTCTCTTTTCTATACCGCGCTTTTTCCAATCTTTCATTTCCGGCTCTCTTTTCTCCTATTACAGCGCAATGAACATGGACAGGTTTGAGAAAGGCCCCAGGGAGATCCTCAACCCGGAGATTCAGAAGGTGAGAGTGACACTGGAGCAACAGCCGCCTCCCCGTTCACAACAGCAGCGGTTCATTTCACGCCAAGCCTGATCAGCAACACCTAAACTTTATAATGTCCTCAGGCTGTGTCATCTCTCACCGCTGTGCTGGTTAGTATGAATGACAGTTTTTATTTCCTCTTTCCTCAGGACCTGCTGGTGTTGGAGGAACAAGAGGTATGAAAGGATAATGTACCGTTTGTCTTATTTGTGCTGTTTTTTAAGTCAGTTTAGTTATGATTATTCAATATATTTTGTATATGCTTTCATGCATAGTTGTTGATCTGATATAGTAGCAATTTTAATGCAACTTGCAAAGTAAATGTCATAATGTGTTAGGTGTCATTTTCTAAATTGTGTGCATTACTCAGCAGAAACATCCATATTAGCTGTTTCTTTGCTACAGTGATCATCTCTTATTTTGTAGGGTTCTGTCAACTTTAAATTTGGTGTGCTGTACGCCAAAGATGGACAGCTCACAGATGACGAAATGTTTAGCAATGGTAAAAGTCTATTGGCTTACTTTATTGATATTTTATGTCTGTTTTTTGTTGTTGGTGTTTTAATGAAATGTTTATTATATTCAACTGTTTTGTATATGTATTCTGGTGCTCTCTATTTGTCCTTACCTTTAAACTTCTAGAATTAAAATAGGGTGATCTTGTAGCCATATACAACTGAAATACCATGAAACCGTGAATATAATAACAAAATTATTAATATGCATATTGGTTTAAATAGCATTTTTTATCTTTTGTTAAAAGGTTAACAAGGAAAAAGAGTTGAGAACTGTTTTGTGTGCGAGAATGTGTGTTTGTTTGTTTTCTGTATTTTTCGGTGTAGTTTTAAATGCTAGGAGTTATTAGCTTATCTTAGTTTAGATTTACCCTATAATAAGGTGAAAGCCCAGCCATTTTTAGATCACACCAAAAGTAAGTAAGAAACTAATTTTCAAATGTTGTTCCTAAAGTGCTCCTGTGTTTTAACTCAGTGTTTATGTGTCTCAAGCTTTTTCACAGATGGTAGACTTATTTCCTTAAAATTGCATGAAATATGTTATCTGTTTTGGGATGTCACTGCTTTGTTCATCAAGCAACACATTTTGTTATATATATTTTTGTTTTTTTAGTAGAAATGTTCAAATCTCCCCATGGATCCACAATTAGATTTTCCTCTTGGTTGTCTCTATCTAACAGGAAATGGAAGGATCTGAATGTTTTTCCATTTGTAATTACATTTTTATGTTTAATTTAAATCAATACATAGATTTTTTAATCAGATTAGATAATCTGAGTTGATTATATCATTTAATTAGGCACCAAAGAGATCCAAAACAATCCCATGTAAAAATGTGATTGATTGATTGATTGATTGATAAGGTATATTCATGCGCCATCTTTAGTCCCTTTTAATAGACTTAAGTTTGTTTCCCCTCTTTTTTTCTGACCTTTTGTCTTTTATCTCAGTCTGCTTCCAAACCCTTTCTGATGCATTTTCCTTGTGCCGTGAATATAAACCAGGGTTGATCTGACCCAAATATATGACACCTAAGCCACCACCTGACAAAGCCTTTAGCAATAGTGAATTTACTGAAATGTTATCTGATCTACCATCTATTGCTCGACAATGCTGTTGCCAGCATGCAGGACACATTTCACCCTTGGCTCGCAGTAGTGACACCAACACTGTTTCAAAATTAAAAGTTCTACATTAGTTGAGCTACTCTTGACACCGACAATAATTTTGTAACTGTACTAAAAGCAGAACAGAAATGCAGCACTCAGGACTTCCATGATACCTTTCATAAGTTAATATTTTCTTTGCATTTGAAGAAACAACACATCACGTGTGGCTTTGTCCACCTTTGGTCCAGATCAATGCATTTGTTTCGAATCAAATGTAGTGGACACATACTTTCCCAGCTGTTCCAAGTTTTTCTCATTTTTCCACATGATATTTTCCCCAGACTTTGATATTATCAAGATGTTCTTTTGTCAGTTTTGGTCTTGATTAGGTTTTTTTTTCTTTTTTTTTTTATGTGCACCTGAGTGGGTCCTCACAGACCAGCCATATTTTTTACTTTTAATATGCACAGGTTGAAGGGGTAACTTTTCAAGGCAGTTGTGTCCACTGGGTTTTATTTTAGAGTTTCAGACTAAAATGAGCTCAGTAGATATGCAGCTATAAAAACAAAAAAACAAAAACAAAACAAAAACATCTTTCGGGGTTATAGACACTTTTGCAAAATCCTCTCTTGCACAATATGCTGTAAATGCTGACGAGCTTTTACATTTGTAGAGACGGGGAGCGAGAACTTTGACAAGTTCCTCAACCTGCTCGGTGATACCATTACACTGCAAGGATGGGCAGGCTATCGCGGAGGGCTCGACACCAAGAGTAAGACGCTACTCCTTTAAGTTGTATAAACATCCTTTTACTGAAAACGGATTTTATAAGATCTTTTTTCTTGATCTTGATGTTTCTCCAGATGACACTACAGGACTTCAATCCATCTACACAGTGTATCAAGGGCATGAGCTCATGTTCCACGTCTCCACCATGTTGCCCTACTCTAAAGAGAACAAACAGCAGGTCTGTGTCTATGTGTGTGTAAGGAGAACCTTCAAATGTGTAATAGTGTAAAAACACCTCTGTTATTTCAGTTAAGAAAATAAAGGGGCTCTGAGAGGAAGCCAGATCATTGACAGCGTCTAGATACTGCAGCTTTAAACAGAATAAGAGAGAAAAACCACGGTTCTCTTCTTTGTAATGCCTATGTATGTGATGTAAAAGAGTGGCTGGCTCGCAGATCTAACACATAATTGGATTTGGTTTAAAGAACAGACACTCTGGCTGTCAGTAATAGGGAACAGTGTGTGCTCATCCTGTGGTTGCTGTAGTGCTGCACGATTCCTCTCCATCTCACCAAAAGGAGCTGCAGATAAACCGTATCCCACCAGGATATTTCATCTCACCTTGTAAAATTATGTGTTTTTTTTCTCTTTGCCACCTATCTGGACATTGTTCCATTATTATGATTTAATTATAGAGTTAATAGTGTAATGATAAAAAAAAGTAGGAGCTCAAGGATTTGATTATTAGCGAATGATTCCAAATGAAGGGAATTCCTTTTTACAGCTTGGTTATTAATGTGTTCTTTGTCACTTTTCATCAGTCCTTGCCAATTTTGGTATCTTTGTTACTTTTTTTTTATATTTTCAGCCATTTGGACTGATACCAGCAGCATCCTAATGTTTTTTAATGCAAATGTTCTTTCATTGGCATAAAAAAATCAATCCATCACATTTCGTTGCAACAGATACTTCATGAGAATTAGATTGAGGCCATCTCACGCATCACCAGTCTTTGTTCTGAAATATTTCCATGTTGTTCTGACTGTGTGTTTAGTATTGTTGTGCTTAAAGAGGTGGGTTTCCCATACCGTGCAATCTTTTGCTGACTCTAATAGTTTGTGTTTTCAGCATTCTCTTGTATTAAACTTAATTTCCTTTACTTGTAAACTGATCAGTTTTGCTGTCTTCTGCAAAGAAAATCATCCAACCAGAATGACTCAACCTCCACCATGTTTTAACTTTGGGTTAGTGTGTTTAGGATATAGCTGTTATTTTTCTTCCAAGGTGCATTCTGAGCAAAAGTTTGACTTTTGAAGTAACTAGTAATATGTGTTTATACAAATGCGTGCTACATGTTTAAGATTTCTTTATAAACAGCTAACTAACATGTATGGAAAATCTGCTAAAATAGTTACCAGATAGCAGAGTTCCTGTTGGTATCATGATGCAGTGTAAAATTATTTCTATATGCTCTGTAAAGGATCAAACAAACAACAGGGAAATTAAATTGAACAGAAAATGTGAATCAGGTCTTTTTGATGAAGCGTCTGTCGCTTGTGTTTCTCTGGCAGGTGGAGAGGAAGAGGCACATTGGAAACGACATTGTTACCATAGTATTTCAGGAAGGGGACGAGGTGTCATCGTCCTTCAAACCATCTATGATCCGATCACACTTCACCCGTATCCTTTACATGGACAATGAATGTCAAAGAAATTAGGTGGCTGTCGACTGCATGAGAACTGCTCGCTCAAGGTCTGAAACTGAAAAGCAGAGCACCGAAATTATCGCTTTAAAACAACATGCTTAGTTTTCCTTCACTCATTTTTGCAGATATTTTTGCATTAGTCAGGTACAACAGCCAGAATGACAGCTACAGGTGAGTTTAGAGTAGGCTTAATTGCAGTTTTATTGCAAGAATTTTCTTCTCTGCTTTTGCGGTGGATCTCGGAGGTATAAACTGCTCTTTGCTACAGGTTGAAGATTTTCTCTGAGGAGAGCGTTCCACTGTTTGGACCCCCTCTCCCATCTCCGCCTGTGTTTACTGATCACCATGAATTCAGGGACTTTTTATTAGTCAAATGTATGAAAACAAATAAAGCAAATCAGATCCAATGTTGAGATCCAATTCATCTATTTCACTTTAACTAATATCTTCATTTTTTTCAGTAATCAATGGAGAGAAAGCCACTTTGGAGACACCAACGTTTGCCCAGAAACGTCAGCGGACCCTTGACATGTTGATCCGCTCGCTCTACCAAGACCTGATGCCTGACCTTCACAAGGTAGAGCACCATTTTGGACCATCAGTCATGCACAGAGAGCAGGAAGGGCTTCAGTTATGGCCCTCCAAGGCATATTTTCCTCAATCCTCCTGTTACCTCAGACACCAGCAGCAGCGTCTGTAACCACAGCTGAGCTGTGTTCTGCTATATCTAACTGCAGCCCCCAGTCTGCCTCCGCATACTGCACCACACTGACTGGAAAACCACTGCAATGCTGACTTTCTCAGCAGGGCTCCCTCTCCTCATATTGCTTTTGTTCTTATTTCTCTTGGGTTTTTTTCCACTTGTCCCCCTTCACCCTGGCCCTAACACAACTCATTTTAAACTGTTTTCACTGCTGCTTCTAAAAACACCCACTGTGGGTTAGTCTCTAAGACCCCTTCTTTTTTTTCCTTTCTCTTTCCCCTGTGTGCCATTTTTTGTGTGTTCCACGTTTAGGTTCCCTTTTCTCCCCAGAACATGTTAAACCGGAGGTCTTTTAGCGACGTGCTCCCTGAGTCTCCGAAGTCGGCGCGTAAGAAAGAGGAGGCCCGGCAGGCTGAATTCGTCAGAATAGGCCAGGTAAAGTCGCAAACACATCAGCACTGTGCACAAGGGTTTTGCAGAGACCAGCATTACACATTTAAAAGTACATACATTAACACAAATCAGGAGGAGCCATGCATCAAAAGATGGAGAATAATAGCTTTTGAGGACTAGGACAAGATATCCCAAACTATAATCCAGAGTATTAGTCCTACAAGCTTGCACATATTAAAGGTATAGTGCAGGTTTTTCACACATTTTTGAAAAAACCACCCCTCTCCACTTTATAAAAAAATCAATAAATGCACATGCACAACCCTGTACCCACTCCCGAGAGGGAACACCAATTGATTGCAGGCAAGAGCATGGACTGGCGCATATCCCCCTGGTGCACGCTCTGTTCAAAAGTTGCTGTCTGCATCTCTCAAACAAGCTTACTTTGCAAAAGAAGATTTGCAATTTTTCCACTATGTCCGACTCATCTCAGGTGAGTGAAAATGTATTGACAACAAAGAACCGCTGTGAGAACGGCAAGCTTCAATAACTGGCTGAAACCGTAGCTCATCACACATATGCACCTTAAAGTGCACATGTGCAAAAAAATATAGCTATATATGGACGAGGACATAGGACGGCCTTACCTAAACATATCACCAGAATGATTTGCAATTAGGAGGACCACTTATTTTGACGATCCACCTGGAAAAAGAAAATCCTCAACTATACCTTTAAGTGTTGCAGCAATCATTCTGTCTGTCGCTCACAGTGACACTGAGAAGTTAACAGCTCTTTTTAGATGAACTCTTAAAGTGCTCTCACCTCGAAGAGATTCCTGTATTCTCTTCATTTTGCGACCACTTGAATGTCCTTTGCTCTGGCCCTTTTATTTGCCTCTGAGAAAGAGAAAACCTGGATATCTACATTGTGCTTTAAAGCATGAAATGAAAGAAGGCAGCGGTGAGAAAGAGTTTGCTTTTCTGACTAAAAATGGAATTGATAAATTTTTTTTGTCAGTGTTTAATGAATGACTGGACTACATTGCTGCTAAACCATCTACAGTTGGTTGGAATTTATTCCATTATATCCAGATTGTTTTTATAAATAGTATAATCTTCCACTTTAGATTAAATTTGCAGTGGCTACTGTACACTGATCTCTTGGGGTGAATCAGGCGGGCTGGATGGAAATGGACACCACACAAAAAATAACAGTCATTCATCATTTTTATTTCTGAACTTTTTCTTTTGGTCTTCTGCAAAAAATATCAATGGAATACAGTATTTTGTGGTTGTGACATGACCACATATGAAGGAAGACATGTGGAAAACATGTAGAAACTGCAGACCATGGACATGTCTTTAAATACAGTATGCATATGGGTTTTATGAGATGTTATCTCCTATCCAGGCTCTGAAGCTGAAGACCATCGTTCGAGGAGATGCACCTACAAGCCTTGTTACCACGGGTCTGTGCAGAAAAGAGGTGACAGAAAAACACTGACACAACATCAATGTTAGTCTATCCTTAAAAGCCAAACAGGTACTTAATGATTCTGAGTGGGAGTTTTTTCAAGATGTTAACTGCATTCAATTTGTTTTGTTGATGTTTTTGCATATTATACAGGAGTAATTTATATTTTTTAGTGGGCAGATATTTTGTAAAATTGTGGATCACATTAAATGTGACAAAAACTAGTTTTCTTTGGCCGAGTTATGTAAACTGCTTTGAATTTCCTTACCATCAGTATATTGATTACACCATCCTTACATCAAACAAGAAGACTTGCCATATTTCTTCTTACTGTGTGACTTTGAATCACAAAAGGGTTGCATATTTACGAAATGCCAGGATAGAGAAGGAAAATTCCAAATCAGTAAATGCATTGAGGATGTCAGCATCACAAAGAACATCACCTCCTGGGCCAACCAACGACCCTAGATGTCTGGAGAGGTTCGGAAATCGCTAAAAGCATAGAACCCATCTTTTCAAGTCTGGTGATAGAGAGGCACAGAGAACCGCGCGTTCAAACTTGAACTGTGCCAACAGATCAGCAAAGCAGAACCACAGTCAATCCAGGATCTCTGCCATGATGCCAGCCTCACGAGGAGGATGTTGCAAGGCATAAGGGTGATCACAGACTACAACACACCCTTCCCCCTAGTAGATGCAGCTGATTCTGACTTCCTAAATGAAATAAACAACTTCTTTGGAAGGTTTGAGGCACTGCAACATAGCTGATGTGGGGAAAACTCTGAGTAAAGTCAACTAAAGAAAGTCCCCCAGGCCCCGATAACATACCTGGCCAGAGTTCAATTAGTGTGCAGATCAGCTGGCTAATGTCCTCACAGACATTTTTAACACTTCGCTGCATCAATCCATAATGTCAGCATGCTTTAGGTCTGCCACCATCATTCCGGTCCCAAAGAAGCCTCAGGTCAACTCACTCAATGATTACCGGCCTGCCGCACTGACTGCTATCATGATGAAGTACTTTGAAAGGCTGGTTAAAGAACACATCGTCTCCAGTCCCCCTCCTAACATTAGACCCGCCCCAGTTTGCCTACCAACGCAATCAATCCACTGAGGATGCCATCCCCTCCACTGTTCACATGAGCCTAGCACACCTGGAGGAGAAAAACACCCACATGCGGATGCTTTTCCTGGACTTCAGTTCAACTTTCAACACCATCATCCCACAGCATCTGATGGGCAAACTGGAACAGCTGGGATTCAATACAGCCCTCTGCAATTAGCTGCTAGACTTCCTCACAAACAGACCTCAGTCAGTCTGGGACAGACAGAACACCTCTGATGTCATCTACATAAGCACAGGCTCCCCTCAGGGCAGCATCCTGAGGGGAGCCTGATGCTCACCTGTTCACCCTGATGACACATGACTGCATCCCCAGGTTCACCACCAATCACATTGTAAACTTTACAGAGGACACGACGGTGCTCTCGTCAGAGATGACAACGACCTGGGCTACAGAGTGGAGGTGGAGCAGCTGGTGGCCTGATGCAGAGATAACAGTCTGAATCTGAATATGGAAAAGATGATGGAGATCATCGTCGACTTCAGGAAAAACTGGCATAACCACGCTCCACTGGTTATCAACATCTCAGCTGTAGAGGTGGTCAACAGCACCAAATTCTTGGGGGTTCACATCACAGACAAACTCACCTAGACTGTTAACACCACCTCACTGGTCAAAAGCCTGTAGACGTTTACTTCCTGAGGAGGATGAGGAGAGCCCACCTGCCCCCACCCATCCTCACTACCTTCTACAGAAGCACCATAGAGAGTGTTCTGACCAGCTGTCTCACTGTGTGGGGTGGAGGCTGCAGTGCCTCAGACTGGAAGTAGATTGAGAACAGTGGTGAGAACAGCAGAGAAGATCATTGGGGCTCCTCTTCCCTCCATTAAAGACCTTTCATCCTTACGCTGCGTGTCCCGAGCCCGTAACATCAGTAGTGACCCCTCACTCCCAAACTGTTTACATTTGATCACTGCTACACTTTATGGAATGGAAATGTTCTGACAATAAGAGTTGTCTAAGTCAGACAGTTTCTACAGTATTTAGTAAAATTGATATGTTTTTGTTTTTTCTGGGTACTTCCCCCGCAAGCTTTTGCCACCCATAATTACTGAGAGCACTGAGAGTGTAAATGAGAGTGTAAATGTGTCAGTTTTGCTCACCACCACTTTTTTAGCGCTGTCTACATATTATCATTACACTAAGATTAGGAGCTTGTAATAGATAAATCCTTATATGTACTTTGTTGTTCTTAAGCCACTTTTAAATTGATTTGACAGGAGGCAAAGGGTCATCACTCATATGCAAGACTCATTTGTACGTAAGGTTAAACTTCTTGGCTAAGCTGTTGCTATGACGCCTCCAAAATATGTGCAGTTCTGATTTGAAAAGTGCCACTACCTTACATGACGCTGCCTCTTACATAAGTCAAAGTTGAGGTTTCTGTCTGCAGGCTCTTAAGCTGCTATTTTTCTTCCTGTCTTCCCAACTTTATTATAAAGAATATATCAAGAACCTAACTTTTAGTTTCTTCTTTTACTGTCTCCAAAAAGAAGACCTATTGCCTCAGCATTTGCAAACTGTAATCAGGGTTTATACATTGCTTTTGGGGTAATGGCTTCTTTGTTGCTGAATGTCTTTTCAGATGAGGTTTTTAAAGGGCTTGCCTCACTGTACTTTAAAACCCTCTCTTACAAGGACCTTTACAAGATCATCCACTTAGATCACAGTCTCTTTCTTAAACAGAAGTTTTTTTCTTGGCATAACAATGTCTCATCAGGAAGCAGTTTCTAACCCATTAGAAGTTTCTTTTCTTGGTTTGAGCATTTTCCTAAAGGCCGAGATATACTCACACATTGAGTTGTCGCTACAGTCTGTGTGCTCCGTCATGAACCCATAGAAATGTTGAACCCTTTTATACCGTAGTTGACGTGGATGTTGGTGCAGTACTCGCAAAAAACACAAAGGGCCATTGATGAACATAACAAGTGGAAAGACAGAAAAAAAGAGAAGAAACAGTCGATGTCCCACTTACAAAATGCATGAGCGCATTATTTAAAGGCTCACCACGTAACTTTTGGACACTAGGTGCGCTAGACCTGTAACTTTCATGCTAGAGCCCTTAGTGGCCCCAAGCACCGCAGTATTGTTGCAAAGTTCAACAGTCAGCCGGTAAGCCTCCCGTATCTAGAAAGCACAGGTCAGACCGCGGTGCATGGAGTGGAGGACCAGCGGCAGAGCTCCAGTGAAAAGCTGCTGGTTTGGAAAGGGCATTCTTCCAGGTCAAATGACCTGGCCAACCATGGTGCGCCGTCTCTCAACTTACATTGGCTTCATTTCAAGAGGGGAGCCCCGCTCGTAGCATTGATAGAGTCAAGCACTGCATATTGGCCTGAGGAATCATTTAAAATGACTCATATGCATCAACTCCTTAGGTCCCAAAGTCAGCAGGGTGTCTTTAAGAATTGATGATTATTGACGAATAAGAGATGTGTTACACAGAAATAGAAAAGAGAGATGTGACGATGGGGAAACCATCCCCCACCCCCTGTGAAGCCCATACGTACCATCCATCCATTCATTTTCTGACACGCTTAATCCCAAGTGGGGTCGCGAGGGGTGCTGGTGCCTATCTCCACCTGACCTTTTTTTTTTTTAAATAACATTTTTAATAAAAACTGAATGCATTGTATACTCTGCGTAGTTCTTTCAGACTTTCTTTATATTTTATGTCATGGAAACAGAAACTAAAATCCTTGTTTGTATCAAAAGCTTGGCCAATAAACTCACCCCTGTATAATGTTTTCAGTCACTGAAAGAACAGTAACAACACTGAATTTAACCACAATGTTCTTCTGCACCATTTGATGTCAGTACAAGCAAACTTGTTCATGGAGAACAACTTTTTATCCTTCTATCTAGAAAGCGGTCAGTGCCAAGTTACAAAAATTCGGAGATGCGCGACCTAGCGCCGAGGCTGCGTGCTCGGTGGAAGGGAAGGCATGATTGTGTCACTTTTGGCGCAGGCACCCTTGCACCCTTTTGGATGTGGCGGATATAAACCAGGCTTAAATGTTTCATACTACTATTTATAAAATATAATTAATATTGAGGAACCTCTCTGAACTAAAACAGCAGGTTTTGTCTGTCAGACTCTGACAAACAAAAGGTTATGTCTATTTATTTATCTCATTTGTGTCATTTTAGTCGAGCTTGTTTATTTCATTGCTTATACTTTTTTTTTTGTGGCTAATTCTGCAGCCATGGGAATCCCAGTCTTTCTGCAGCACGTTTCCCTATGACATCGTCTGTGCTGACTCGTGGGGTCAGTCTCTGCTGGTGGCGACTGATACTGCGGGGGTCATGATGCTGGACGGTGAGTTCATCTTGATCTGTCTTTCTTAAATAATCATGCAACACATAGCTCAATATCAAGCTGGGATGATGGTAATAATGATGCTGTCCATGTTGCAGGCCCTGATCCAGTGCTGCCTGGTGCTGGTGAGTGGCAGGCAGTCAATAACACTGTTCCTTCCACAGCTGGGATGTATTTTTCACCCCTCGTTTGATGATGGGATTGCTTTATTGTATTTCAGAGACACCGACGCTTGCCCCAGTGCAGGTGTTTGACAAAACCATTGCAGTGAAGCAGATGCACATTCTAGAGCCTCAGGACCTTCTGATCACCAGAGCAGACAAAGGTAGGCTTGAAAGAAGGATTGATATTGTTTTATACTTCCCCCTGCATATCAGAGACTGATTCCTTTTCTTTCTTTTCTGTTCTGATGTTTATTCTCATTATTCTCTCTAAATGCATCTCTATCATCTCTCACTCTCTCTCTGGTTCAAAACCTGCTTACCCTTTTTACCTGAGCTTGTCCAAAGTACCATTGATCTCCTGCTGAGATCTAAGAAAGCTGACCTATAGAGAGCTAAACTCAGAGGGGGCCATATGGGTCTGTTGTGCTGGAGGAAATCTGTGAGGTCCAGTGCAGTATAAATGCAATTTCTTTTCATTCTTAGCATTCAAAAGGAAAAAAACCAGGCCTTTTTACCATTTTTGGTTACCTTTTTAGATTTTATCCCATTCCTCAAGCAACAATAATTTAGTAGGAAACAAAGTTTTTGAATTGAAAGGGTGATTTATTTAGTTAATATATAGTATTGGATTAAAAAGTAAGATTAATGAATTACAAAACTCGTTTAGAAATTCACATCCCACCACTAGTAATTATTTTAAGGACAAAATTTCTCCTTCATTGGCAGATCATCATATTTACATGCACGGTTTAATGTCAAATGCACTTATTTTAAGAACAGTTTACTTTTTGTTTTTAGATCACTTTTTACGGTTTTATAATTTTTATGACGATATGCGCAGACAGAAGGGACTGTTTGAAGTTGTTTAAATTAATGAACATATTGAAGAATATATACCATGATTTCAAAAAGTCTTAAGAAAGTGAACTGGTCTGTACTGGCAGATTATTGCACTTATTTTGAGTGGATATTTTCCAAAGAAGACATTATTTTTATTTTATTTTTTTTTACAGTGTCCTGTCTGGCGATGTGGCAAGAAGATGTATTATTTAACAGAATCTGCCCTTGTTCAATACACTCAAAACAAGCTTAAAAAGAGGTTTTAGCTAGAGCCTTGTAAGATGGACAATTTTTGCTGTGTGTAACTGATTGGTCCCTTATTTAAAGTCACCTTGATGCTTCAGGCATATTCAGATCCGACCACGGGGTTCATCATCATTACTATTGTTCTGTGCCCCTATGAAGTACTTCATCAACTATTTTAGTAATTGATTAATCTAACTGGAGTACAGAGAGTGTAAAACATGTCTTTAGCTGACAGAGCAACCCACATAGAGCAGTAATTATATCAAATTACTAAAAAATCTCTAAAAATTTTGCATTTAAGATTTAAAAAAAAAAGTTTTATCTATCCAGAACTCAAGCAGAAACATTTTAGTTTCACCTAGTTTAATTTCCTAAAAAAAAACTTTTTTAAGGAACCTTTTGCTATCGGATTATTAATTGATTCAAAAAATAATGGACAGAATAAATCGATTTGCTAAACAGTCGTTAGCTGCAGCCCTAGTTGCAGGGCAACAGTGATGTAGAGATATGGATGCAGTTTCAAGACAAAGATACAAAAAAAACAAATTAACCAAAATGTTGGATGTGACCTTTAGCTCATCAAGATAAGTATCACATCTACAGTAACATGACAACAGATAAAAACCTTTATGTCTGAACATGTGTAACTTTTTTGTGAGTTAGGAACTATAATGTACATGATAATACGGTAATCATTTGGTCTTTGCCAAGGTGAACGTTAGCGCATATATTGAAATATTAAACAGATTGATCATTGGAGCCCAGTCTGCCAATTTAACCAAAACCAGAAGTTCATGCAGCCAAAAAAGTCCCTAGATAGTCCATATTACACTTACCATAGCTTAATAATTATTATTAAATTACTATTTAACCACAATGCAATGATAAACAGAGGCAGCAAATAAATCAGTTGGACAGCTGCAGACGCAGGTATGAACAGATGTAGGTTTTTTTCCAAAGTTGCCCTATGAGCTTTTTACATTTTTATACCTAATATGAACTTTGGGCTCTGGATAATTACCCTTTTTGCTCTTGGAGATCCGTAAGCAGCACAAAGCTCTTTATCATCTGCCCTCCATCTGTTGTTTGATGCACATGAAAGCAACCTATTGAAAGACCCGGCCTTACAGTAAACATCAGTATCCCAGACCGGTCTGCTGTGTTGTTTGGGCCTCATGAAGCTGTTTGTTCACCTTAAAAAAACTCTGAATTTCTTAACAGATTTTTTTCTTCGTTTTTTTATTTCCACTTTTCAATTATGTGGTATGTTTTGTGGTTTGTTGAAACAAAGGTCCCTGTCACACCTTGCCGATTTAGCCAGCATATGCATGAACGCCTACTAAAACGTTGGCATACACTGAACTTTCTATGTATTCAATTCTGGGTGTATACATAACATATTGATAATGAGTCTAGAACTTATGTCCAACGAAAGCCTAACTTATGCATAATGCATGGGAACGTAATGCCAATGAAATGATACACAAGCCAATGTCCTGAGGGGGCAGCGATGCGCTCGGAGGCGTCCGTCCTGCATTAAAAGATGGACCGCGGTATTAACCGTACGGCTGTTTACCTCCCTCCAAAAAAAATAAATGAAAAAAATGAAACAAAAAGAAAAAGGGTTTCCAGTTGCAGTAGATTCAGCGTCATGTCTCCTAAGAAGATTGTTGGTCGTGGCCGCGGGCATGAACGCAGGGATGATGCATCTCACTCTCCTTCTTGCTCATCCTATGATGGGGATGAAGTCTGGAGGAGAACTGATGGTTTCCTCTTGTGAACCTCCTTTCATACCAAAACGCCGCAAATACACCATTGAACAGTAGCTGCAGTTTCGAAACATCTTTAGCAGTTGTCTGGAACAGGTAAAATATGTTGATATGCACTGGAGATAAGTTCTTAATAAGTTACACCTAAGTTATACACAACTTACTCATAGGTTTTAGATAAGCTAGACGCCACAACTTATGAGTAACTTACACTTAAGGTATTTCAACAATCAAATAACTTACCTGTGACTCATGGCCCATGTATGAGCATACGTCTCGACGTACTTGCCGTATGTCGATGTGTGCCAGCGTCCTTCAGCATGTCCATAACTTATCCAACGTATTTAGTGTTTTTGCCATATTTTCTGTACGTCAAGCATACGCTGTCTAAATCGTCAAGGTGTGACAGGGTAAAAAATAACAATGTTTTTCGTAAAAAATATATAAAAAAATGTTCAAAGAGTTATTTTCCTCTGGTATGAGTTCTCTCTATTCTCATGTCTATGTACAGGCAGAATAGAGAAGGAGTCACTGTGAATAAACACCAGTGCGATTTGTTTCATGTTTGCTTCAGCTCAGTGACTATGTCATTAATTACAATACAGATGATTAGTTTTTGCTAACATTGACACACATGGTTGACTTTGGTTTGACAGTGATTACAGTATGTGATGTCAGTGTAAACATTTTTTCCCCATGCATGTGTTTGCCCTTTGAGGGAGAACCAGCACCTTAAGTAGAGTAATTCTGCCACATGCAATGTCTGCTAGTGGGAGGATGCCAACACTGGAAAAGCAAAAAAAAACAAAAAAGATAACCTTCTTGCAAAACAGCAGAATCCCTTGTTTTGTGTCCAGGAAAGGACGCCCGGCTGTATGTGTTTAGACTCGGCGCCATCAAAAGAGGCCTGGAGGAACGGCAGCTCGTAAGAAGCAAGTGTGACTGCAGAGAGAACAAACTAGAGAAAACTAAAGGTAAACAAAGTAGAAACTGACGAACAGGAACGATTGGCTATGAGCTCTAAACACTGGTGTTGGATATCGAGTTTATTGGTCTGAGTTGATCGAGAAAGAATTGGGTAAATATAATATGCCTGAGAATGAGGCTCTTTTAAAAAAAGTTAGGAAAATATTTCAAAAGACATAAGGAGCTGCCTCTTTCCTTTTAATTTCTCAGTTTCTGTCTGTTATATTAAGTTGCTCTAATTCATCAGGTTCTAAGGATCAACTCATACAGTACATATTTTCAGATGACCAGATGTGACGTAATATTGTCTTATATAAATTGTTTAATGATTGGTGACCTCATCTTCTATGATTAATGGCCACATACTGGCACGGTAAACTGAATCACAATCATCACAATATGAAAAATTAACAGGATTTTTTGGACATAATTTCTTACATGTTTTGATTTTTTTTTATTTAACAATATGTTTAGCCAGTCAAATGGAATTCATTTGGACTCAGTGTCTACAGCTGATTTTTGGGTCTAAAGGCGGGCATACACTGTACGATATTTTCAATCGTACTCAGCTACAGCTCAAACTGTACAACGAAACTGCAGGGTTTAAGATTTCCCAGCTCACAATACATGTTCTTTATGCTGTATGGCCCCGACGCTCTGATGCGATCTAACTGCTCACTCTGCACGTCCAAAAACAAAACATTGGACTCAACGTAGAGAGATAACGCTGGTCAGACTTGTCAGTATATTAGAAGAAGAATTCCCTTGTTTTCACATGTGCAGTGCTCGAGGTTCTGGTAAATAGGCTCATAGCTCTGCATCAGCAGCAGGATTTGCTCATAAACACCTAACGACCTAACGAGGGCCGACTAAATTTGAAACCTGATCGGGTGGTGGTTGGGAGAGGCTAATTGCCCCTCGTTACCTGCTGTATGCTACACAACGGAGGACAAACTATGAGGCTAAAACTCAGCCGGATACAAAAAATTCTCATACAACTAGAGAATTGGCAAAAGATCGTACACTGTATGCCAGGCTTGATTGCTATCAGATAAAGATCATAATTTTTAACAATATCGCAAATATATGTTTTTTTCTGATATTACTCAGCTAATTTAAGCTTTTTTTTTCCAGTTTGTGATTTCAAAAGTTAAACACATATAGGGTTTTTTTTCTATAACTGTAGTTGGACTAAGGCATTTATGATATAAAACAAGATGGGGAAATAAGTATAATGTCAAACTTTGAATGCTACGTGGTTAAATACCTGATTTATTGAAAAAAGCCAAAACCAGACATTCCTTTCTTTGGGGCATTGTTGGAGAAATAATTTGGCCCTATATTCTTGATATGTAATATAAGATCCCGTGTTAATCTGATGTGAAAATAGTTAAAATTTATATATTTCCCCAAAATTTTCCCATTAAACCGACTCAGCTTCATCTACTTCCAGCAAAGTTAATTTCATGAAGGGAATGGTTCTCGTTTTAAAAATATGCTGTATGTTCATATATGTCTATATGTGTCACACCAAAATAGTTCTTAAAAATGTTAGGGGGGGTTGACCATACTGCAGGGATTAGTGCACGATCTAAACCATAGGTGTCAAGTAACGAAGTACAAATACTTTGTTACTGTACTTAAGTACACTTTTTAGGTATCTATATTTTACTCCATTACTTATTTTTCCTCCTACTTTTGACTTCTACTCATTACATTTTCACACAAGTATCTTTACTTTCTATTCCTTACATTTTTAAAACAAACGTCACTCGTTACTCTTGGCTTCGGTTTAAAGCACAGGTCAC